ACTGATTGATTAGTTGTTGCACACATACTTTTATAGGCTGAGTATTCTTTAAATTGCACTTTTCACGTAGAGTAATGTATTTCAGATTTGTACTAGAGCATATTAGAAATAACAAGGTTAGTTTCCCAATTAAGAAGCTACAATCAAAAGCCAACATCAGCTTCAGGGTAAATGCAAATGAATTTATGGTTCTGCATACTGTTGTTTGTATTCAAAACAGTGCATACATTTTGGCTCAGCAGGAGCAGTTTTTCAACACAGCAGCAACACAATTAATTGTCGACATCCCAGTGACGTCTTGTAAGAACCCATGGAAGGCCAAGGTAACAATTAGTGGCACGGTAGTGTGTGACAGGTGTGTGTCTGTAATTTTTTTTTAACTCAAAATAAAATGCACTGAATACAATTATATGTTCAATTATAAACTGGCATGGTTATTGCTAAAGTTGTTATGCAGTAGGATTATTATGTTAGCTGAGATGGTTATTAGGCTGTGCTATGAACAGGTTTAAGAACACCTGTACTCCTAAATTTAAAACATCGGCGTACAAGAATTTGAACTGACTGAAAATAAACCTTTCATATTTTCAGACTAGTTACTATAAAAGGTATAACGATATATAAATATATATATATATATAATATATATATGGATGCAGTGTTATGCATTTCCTATAGCCCCTCAAATGCATAACGCCCCTTTAAAAAGAAGACATACATTGGATGTGAAGGCTGCCAAATGTTCTCTCTCCCATACACACACACACCAAGCTCCATCGACCTGAAATCCAAAGGTCCCATTTTAAGATTTCTAACTTTTTAAACTCTGTAGGGCTGCTGCTTCATCAGGCTGGATTTTATAGAAAAGACATCAAATTGTGTAAAGGACTCAACACTAGGGTGCTGCTATAACTTATTGAGTTTCCTCCCTGCAATTACACCAGCAAAAGACCCTTCTATTTACCTGTGTAGACAACTCCATTTATTTCTATTGACATGTTGATGCTGTTAATGCCGTTGGTAGACAGATTCAATGCGGACTCTTGTCTATCATCTGTCAAGAGAGAAAGCACAGAGGGAGAGAGGAAAACTCAATATGAGCATTTAGAAAAGAAATAGAAAAAGCAAGAGCAGTATTGCGAGAATTTGGAGAGTGACAGTATAAGAAATGAAATGAAATGAAATGAGATAAGAGATAAGAACACTTAATAAGAGATTTATTAAGTGTTCTGGGGACACAGGTATAAAACGATGTGAATTATGGAGGACCTCTATCATAGCAACCAACCTGGGAACTATTACATTTACAGTTAAAAATGGTTAATATTTTTTCTTATGTCTTCCCCCAAGACAACCCCCCCCCCAAAAAAAAAGCAAAAAAAAAAAAAAAAAAAAAAAAGGGGGGGGGGGGGGGGGGGGTAGGGTTCAAGAGCTTAGACCAGTCCAGAAATTGCTTTTCCATACAAAGTGTAATGATTCTGTGCTTTAGTCCTTTTTGGGGTTCATGTCATTATGTATAGTTGTTATAAGTTAGTATTGTACTTTGGTGCATATTGTTATGTGGGGTGAAGGGTTATGGGCTTGTAAACACTGTTGAGAAGTTTACTGTGTGACCCAGAGCACTCAAACGGTGTCATAAAAATTAGCCTTTGCACTGACGTCCAGATTGAGTCCACTTCAACTACATGCGGACCTCTTTGAATTGAAGTATGCCCAAGTATATTGGGACCTTTAGAATCCAAAACTATGGCACCATCTTGGTCAGAAGCTACCATAGTAGTAATTCACAAAGAGGGTAAGGATCCCACTGACTGCCAGACCTGTAACACTGCCGAGATCAATGCATACTCATAGCATTCCTAGCAAGACAACTTGAACTTATCATCCAAATCATACACCCTGACACACATACACATATATATGTGCTTAAAGTCACTCTACAACCTGTTTAGGGTTGGCCAGGAGGAAAACCACACTGCTCTTCTTGAATCCGAAGTTCAACTATCCAACGGACCTTCCTCTCCAGGACCCCTGAATAGACCTTTCCAGGGATGCTTAAGAGTGTGACCCCTCTGTAGGTGGGACACACTCTGCGCTCCCCCTCTTTGAATAGAGAGATCACCATCCCATTCTGTCAATCCAGGGGAACTACCCCCAATGTCCAGGAAAATTGCAGAGTCGCGTCCAATCTCATTGTGTAAAGGACTCGATGAGTCCTTTAACCACCTCGGCGACCTCATCCCCAGAGATGGGAGAGCCCGACCCATAAATGGAAGGCATGTTGGTGGGAAGTATTCTGCCCATTGGAACACAACGTCCTGAGTTGAGGTCAGCAGCACACCATCCCCACTATAAACAGTGTTGGTGCTGTACTGCTTTCCCCTCCTGAGACACCGGATGGTGGACCAGAATCGCATCGAAGTCGTGCAGAAGTCTTTCTCCATGGCCTCTCCAAACTTCTCCCACGCCCAAGTATTTGCCTAAGCAACCACCCGAGCTGCATGCCGCTTGGGCTGTTGGTACCCATCAGCTGCTTATGGAGTCCCAAGGCAAAAAACACCCGATAGGACTCCTTCAGACTGACAGCATCCCTCACCTTTGGTGCCCACCAGCAGATTCAAAGATTGCCGCTGCGACAGGTGGAACCAACAGCGCTGATAAGCAGTCTCAACAATGGAGACGCGGAATAATGGTCTACTCAGACTCAGTGTCCCTCACCTTCCCCGGAAACTGTTCCAAGTTCTCCCGGAGGTGGGAGTTAAACCTCCGTCTCACGGGAGACTCTGCCAGATGTTCCCAGCAGGCCCTCACAATACGTTTGTAGCTGCCAGATCTGACCGGCTTCCTCCCCCACCACCGGAGCCAACTCACCACCAGGTAGTGGTCAGTGGACAGCTCCGCACCTCTCTTCACCCATGTCCAAGACATATGGCCGCAGATCAGATGAAATGATGACAAAGTCGATCAAACTGCATCCTAGGGTGTCCTGGTGCCAAGAGCACATATGGACACCCTTATGCCTGAACATGGTGTTCGTTATGGACAATCCATGACGAGCACAGAAGTTCAACAAGAGAACACCACTCGGATTCAGATCAGGGGGCCCATTCTGTCCAGCCAGTGAGCCTTCAGGTCTCACTGACATTGCTCACGTGAGCATCGAAGTCCCCAGCAGAACGAGGCAGTCTCCAGGAGAGGCACTCTCCAGTATCCCCTCTAAGGACTCCAAAATAATTTTCTTCGTAGGGGGTCTTTCACACATAGATATTAGATTAAGTAATATGACTGCCTTGGCCTGTCTCATTATCCAGGGGTACTTGGCAGGGTTATTCTCTCAGCCTGCTTCTCTTTACTTTAGCTATCGAGCCACTTTCAATTATGCTTAAAACTTCAAAAAGCTTTAGAGGTATTTATAGAAAACATCGACTGACTTTATATGCGGATGACTTATTGCTCTACCTTTTACCTAATATTTTCTATCTCTAACATTGTGTATTTGCTAAACAGTTTTTGTCATGAGTTGCAGTTAGAGGTAAACGCAGTTGGACCCAGGATGTAGAGAAAATTATGATTTTATTAAGGAAATCCAGGCAGCACAGGTGAGCGATGAGACAAGTTAAACGCAGACACTGGTAGCACTGGTGATTACTTAACAAAAGCACGTCACGACAAGGACCTGGCAGGTAAACACAGACACAGGTGGGATTAAATACACAGGGAAGGTAATCAGGGGAAACAGGACACAGCTGGGATCAATCTGGGGCAGATGAGACAACACAGGAACTAAACTGACACAGAAATCCAAATCCTCACAGTTTTAGGAAATTTTCAAGACATAAGTTGAACTTCCTAAAGAGTGAATGTTTTCCTATTAATAACTCTGCACTCCAAATTACAGAAAATGGCAAGCTGCAAGATCAATTTATAGTATCAAGTCAAAAACTGGCACTCACTTAAACAGCAATAAAGAAGAGAGAAACGGTAAAGCTGTGGCCTGCTTCCTGATGGAGTTGCAGTTTTGTGCTGACAGTGTGAAACACCGGAACTACTTAATATTAGCTTATGATGTGAATTTTTCCTTCCTGGATTGTAATAATAATAATAATAAAGTATAAACTTTAATAATAATTAAATTATATTATTATAAAGTATAAACTTTATTATTATTATTATTATTATTATTATTATTGTGTAGCCATGCATAAGCATGGCTACACTTTTACATTGTACATTTAAATGCCAGAATGTAATTTTATGTATATGTGTTTTGAAATAATCAGCTGATCTGAGTCTTTATCAGTATGTCACAATGAATTTCTATAAGACAAAATTAGGTTGTCTTATAGAACCTAATTCTATAAGACCCTATATATATATATATATATATATATATATATATAGTGTTTCAGTCCATCTGAACCACAACTTCGAGGTTCTCCATTGCTGAGAGTTGCTGCAAACATAAACAGAGTTGACCACAGCTGCTGCTCCTCACAGACCGTCTACGACACTAAGAAACAGAGCGGATAGTGGAAAAGCTCACTACCTGCGGTAGAACCGAACTACGTACACTCTAACTGGCTAGAACGCCACTTGCTGGTGGAAAAACGCCTATATAGTCACTTGATTATGCTATGAATTGGGACTAGGTGCCCAGATAATACTGGCTCTTTAAAGCTTAATTAGTTGAAATGTTTTAGCACAAGTATCTGTCTTAATCTGGTGTCATGCTGGTAACAAGTATCTTACCTCTTTTGACAGAAGGGGCCTGGGTGATATAGTTGCTTTGGTGAGAAAGCATTGGTACATGTGGCTGTATTGTTGTTGTTGGGAGAGAAGTCTGTGGGCTTGCGACAGAATAGCTGAAGATGGTAGAACTGTAGTTCTGCCTACGGCTCTCCCGACGGTTGCTGTCTATTGCTGCTTGAAGTTCGCCAGGAGAGCTCAGTCCCCGCTTTTCACATTCATACGGATAGAGGTACTTCATATACCTGCATCAAACAGCATACAATTTCCTTTGAACAATGAGGCATCTTTCAATATTAGTTTGTAGTGTCAAAATGCTATCTGAGTATTAAAATTTACTTGTAATATATAAAAGGATTCTCCCACTTTCCTTACTGAATCGGTTGTGGCGATAATACAGTGTTTCTCAATTCTGGTCCTCACGCCCCCGTGGCCAGCATGTTTTAGGTTTTTCCCTTCTGCCACACACCTGGATTGTATCTGTGATTAACAGGCTTCTGCAGTACAGGTCCTTCTCAAAAAATTAGCATATTGTGATAAAGTTCATTATTTTCCATAATGTAATGATAAAAATTAAACTGTCATATATTATAGATTCATTGCACGCCAACTGAAATATTTCAGGTCTTTTATTGTTTTAATACTGATGATTTTGGCAAACAGCTCATGAAAACCCAAAATTCCTGTCTCAAAAAATTAGCATATCATGAAAAGTTTCTCTGAATGAGCAATTAACCTCATCATCTGAATCAACAAAGTAACTCTAAACACCTGTAAAAGATTCCTGAGGCTTTTAAAAACTCCTGGTTCATTACTCAAAACCGGAATCATGGATAAGACTGCCGACCTGACTGCTGTCCAGAAGGCCATCATTGACGCCCTCAAGCAAGAGGGTGAGAAACAGAAAGAAATTTCTGAACAAATAGGCTGTTCCCAGAGTGCTCACAGTGCCAAAACCACTGATAGTGTTACTGTGCTCAATTGGCCTGCCATCTCTCCTGACCTGAACCCCATAGAAAATCTGTGGGAAATTGTGAAGAGAAAGTTGAGAGATCCAAGACTCTAGTTGACCTTATTTCCACTATCGAAGCATCCTGGGCCTCCATAACACCTCAGCAGTGCCACAGGCTGATTGCCTCCATGCCACGCCACATTGAAGCAGTCATTTCTGCAAAAGGATTCCCGACCAAGTATTGAGTGCATAACTGAACATAATTATTTGAAGGTTGATTTTTTTCGGTATTAAAACACATTTCTTTTATTGGTCGGATGAAATATGCTAATTTTTTGAGACAGTAATTTTGGGTTTTCATGAGCTGTATGCCAAAATCATCAGTATTAAGACAATAAAAGACCTGGAATATTTCAGGTGGTGTGCAGTAAATCTAAAATATATGACAGTTTAATTTTTATCATTTCATTATGTAAAATAATGAACTTTATCACAATATGCTAATTTTTTTAGAAGGACCTGTACTTGATGGTTATGCAATCATTTGAATCAGCTGTTCTGGAATAGAGGCACATCTAAAACATGTAGAGCAGGGGGGGCGGTGAGGACTGGAATTGAGTACTGAGATAATAGAAGAATGGCTCAAACTACCTGTGTTCTTTATTGGTCACACAAATATTTTAATCATTACATTCTTACCTACATTTTTGTTTGTTTTTCTAATCACTTCCACTTTCCCCACCACCCTCGGGTTTTTTTTTGTTAGAAAATGTAAACAAAACCTTTTCTAACCAAAGCTCCAACCCCCCCGCCCCCCTTTAAATTGGGGACTGGGGTTACAATTAACAAATCTTTTATATTAATTTTGGGCAGCCCAGATCAGAGCAGCTATGTTTTACTTTACTACCAGCCAGTCCCCAGCATGGGTCACAATTGAGTCTCAGTTGATTGAAATAAAAATCAGGTGATTTTTATTTCTACCCAGACAGGAAAAAGCTCATTGAACAAACAAAAACATTGGCAAAAAGCCCTTGATTAATTGGAGGAAAAACAACAATCCTCCCAATTCTCATAATTTGTTGGCAACAATTTTAAATCAGGTAGAGAAATGCTTAAAACAAAGTGCTGGTTTGATCATAGAGATATGAAACATGGGATGGATACAAAGCGTCGAAGGAAAGTGAAGATGGACTGCCATGGGACTGATGATGAAAGTGAACTTGTCATGTTTCTGGCCCGTCTGCCTGCTTTGTTTTTCCCCTCAGCTCTCACCTCTCCCATCAAGCTCATCTGGTTCACCTTCATGCTGCTGCGCTAGAGCACAATCAGGCTCATGTCTTCCACCTGTTCACCAGGAGTTATTAGTCGGCTCTCAGGCAGGCAGATGGTGCCAGATTTTTGAAAGCCTTGGTGTGAGTAGATATCCAGCATTTCTTCCTGATCTGACCATGATCTCAAACACGTTTTTTGTCCCTTGGATTTTCCTGCCCTGTCTAGCCCACGTCAGATTCTTCACTGGCTTCTGTTTTCTGGACTCGACCCTGCTTCTGCCTTTCGACCTCTGCCTCCTGCCTTGCCCCTGGATTTGACTGCCTGACATTGCCTGCACGTGTTGAACCCTTTTCTGTGCCCTGACCACTGCTTTTCGCCTGCCCCTCAGATAAGTCTTGCCTTGTCCTGCCACCCTGATCCTGCCTCAACCCCTTGACCTCCTACTTCTATTTCTTTCTGGATGTGTCACCTGTTACTACCACTGAGCTGCCTGAACTCCTCATCCCCCACAACACTTTAAGAAGAGGTTCCTGTCCCATTGCCGGTGGTGGCCTGCCCCCTACCCTGATCCTCAATAAAGATCTTATTGTTTTTTTCTACTTTGTGTCTGACTGAAATTTCGGGTCCTCATTCTGAGCTTTACACTTGTAGGGCCAATGAACCTGGAGGATAACTTTTTGGACACGGTTTTTAAAAGGATGTCATGAGCAGATAACTAAACCTCTTGTTCAAGTAAGTATTAAGGGGCAAGAGTTTTTTTCCGGATGGCATAACGTTGGTTATGCCATCCGGTGTGGTGCAGGGCAAAGATGGTGTTGGTCTAGATGTTCTTGCAACAGCAGATGTGGTAATAAGCAGAGGTGACAGATATATCATGTGCCTTGGAGGGAAATGGAGGTGGCTGGCAACCAAGAGAGACTTCAAAAGGACCCCAGCTACTGGGAAGAGACCAGTTTCCCATCAGAGTTGTGTTCTGCAGGGCAGAGACAGCGTGATGCTATGAGGACACTCCACCCAATGAAAAAACAGACTCCAGCCAGATGGTTTAGTGGACATGAGACAGCATAGGGTGGATTCCAGTTCTTGATTCATACATTCTGTTTGACCATTTGACTGAGGATGAAAACCAAATGTGAGACTAACCTTGGCATTGAGTGCTTTGCAAAACTGTTTCCAGACTTGGGCGATGAACAAGTCTGGAAACGAGTACCACGATCTGATAGGTTATCTTGAGGGATGGAGTGGAGTTGGAAGACATGCTTTGCCAAGAGTTGTGCAGTTTGAAAGACTGTGGGAAGCTTTTTGAGGGGGACAAGATGGCAGGCTTTGGAAAAACTATTAATGATAGTGTTACAACCCCCTCCTCAAGTCCACTATGGGTAAATTCTGGCACTGGGTGTAACACAAAAGAAGAAGTAACCTAAACTGTTGATATCCATAACAAAAGGGTTTATTTACAGTGCAGGTAGAAAAAAAACTCAATCACAGGAGCAAACCAAACAAGAAAAACAACACAGGGAAGCTTTGAGCTTCAGGGTCTCCAAGGCCAAAATAATAAACAAAACACCCCCTTCTAACTATGAAATAATAACAACTTGCTAGAGGTGAAAGTAAAGAAAAATGCAAAACCTGAACTCCCTGGCTAATCATCAAAACAGGAGAAAACGGTTAAACAAAAATGGCAGAGAACCCCTACCGGCTTCCAATGGGAAAGAAATAAGGTGGCAAAATCAATAGCAATGTGGGACCAGAGTCATTTTGGTATGGGTTGAAATAATCTTGAAGGAGGTTGATTACCTATCTTATTCTGGGCACAGATACGGGAAACAAGGATGTATTCTTTAACATACTGTAAATGGATGGCTACCAGAACTTTCAGTTAATGAGAGCAATAGTGCAACTGATACCAGAGTGATAGGAGAACTGTCTGAGCTGAGTGGATCCAATGGATGAGTCTGGCTAGGTGGAAAGGTCTGGATCTTTTGAGGGGGACAGGAACTAGGATCAGGTTCATTCTGTGGGACTCGAGTAATGATGTATTTGATTTCCCAGGTGACGTGCCGAAGGAACAGCTGTGTCATTATGTGTTTTCTTTTCAGAGTCTGGTGCGTACTGGTAGGAGAGAGCATCTGGTTTAATTTCTTGAAGCTTGGACAGTAGAAATGAAGTTGAAACAAGAGAAAAACAGGGAGCAGTGGGATTGGCGAGAATTCAAGCATTTGGTAGATTGCCAATAAGAAAGATTTTTTTTATGATCAGTCCAAACCAGCACTGGATGTTGTGCACCCTCCAACCAATGACCTCATTCCTCCAAAGCAGGTCCTCTCAATTCCAGTCCTCAGGTCACCCTGCTCTGCATGTTTTAGATGTGCTTCTGTTCCAGAACAGCAGATCCAAATGATTGCATAACCTCTTCTGCAGCATAACCTCTTCCTGGGTCGATGCTCACCTATCTGTCCCTGAAGACGTAGCCAAGAAAGATAGGGTTCATTGAACTCACATTTCTTGACCTTCAGGTAGAGACGGTTCTCCAACAGACACAAGACAAGATGGACATGTTTCTGGTGATTGGTGGGGTTCTTGGAAAAAATTAGAATGTGTTAAGGAAGAAATTCTAAAATAGGTTAACTTTGGAAAAAGTTTGGCTCTCTCTCTTCCTCTGGATCCC